CTAAATCTTATAATTCATATCTAAATTATTTACTCTGAAAATTTAATTTAAGTTGGTTTTGATTTGGTTCTTTTGGTAGGCTTACTAATTCAAAATTGACAAAGAATATAGAAAATTCAAAATCAAAAGTTTTAACCATAAGTGAATGTGCATATTCTTCTTTAACATTCCATTTAGCGTATAATTTTGATATAGAACGAAAGAATGATAACAAATATTATATTTAACATGCAAAAATAATGTGTTTTTTTTTAAATCCATGTTCGGACTTGAGCTCTTTTGAAATACTTTTTTTGTATTTTTTTTTTGGATTTCCAGAATTCACCCTACCGACCTAAGTTTATAACAAAGTGCTATTCCATCGTAAGCATTTATATGTTTCATTGTTGCCGGAAAGTTGTACACTAATTTTCCCCGGTGATAATTAATATAATGTATCTGAAGGTATAAAATGTTTTCCCTATTATAAATAAGAAATAGGGTTATTTTTTATAACAGAAATCAATCCCTTGACAGTGAATATATCTGATCTTAAGGGGAAGACCCTTATAATTAATTGATAATGTAAAGATTTATTCAATACGTTGTTTTTTACGATTTTGTCGAATACTGCAAGGCAATGAGACTTATATTCACTACATTGTTTCTTTTGGCAGTGCACGTTTTTATTGCTTTTTTTGGTGTTTGTTCGAATCTTTGTTTTTTGGACTTTTCTTTTTATTTTTGTGCATTTAAATGCTTGTTTGTTTTTTCATATGTTTGCTTTTCTTTCTTTAATACAAAATATACACATTTCAACATAAATTCATGAATTATATCTTATCATCGTTATATGACTAAAATGCATGTTTATCTCTACAGTTGGTGTACTGAATTATTTGTTTTATCTCTTCTCTCTCTCTCTCTCTCTCTCTCACTCTACAGTGAAATTGACACTAAAAATATTTTTAATATTATTTAGATTTTCTTAAAATCAAATTCATTATTGTTAACACTTCTATATTTCCACAAAATCAGTGCTTAGATTTATTTGTCAGTATTATTAGCAGGGACATATTGACAACAACTTCTTCCTTACTTCCACACATGTGCAAACATAAAAGAATACCGCAAGGATTTAAATACTCGATTATGACCAGTGTCATATTGTAAATGTATGATACACACACACACCCTCACACACACACACAGAGAGAGAGAGAAAGAAAGAGAGAGAGAGAGGCGAACACTTTACAATTAAATTACTAATATTTAAAAATGCGAATTTAAAAAAAAAAAGCCAATTTTTTTTTTATTTCATACTTTTACCTTTATGACAAAGAAATGCAATGAATCATAATAAAAAACTAAGAATTAATTGGGTAGTGCCTGTTTCTTGTAGCACATGTTTAACATTTTCCCTCTATATGATCACGGCGGTAATGATCGTCATCTCCCTCAAAATAACATCTAGTTTATAGTGTTAAGATTGTGTTGTATGGTTGTAAATATCTGATTATCTTCATCTTAGAATAGATCGCCTCTTGAGTGGCAAATGCTGTCTTATCATAGAATAACAAAGTATCCACTTCATGTGCAAACGTACTTCTTGGTTTTTGTTATGTTACATTTTTAAAAGTTATCTTATTTGTTTCTTCTTTTGTATTTATTTGTTTTGTTGTTTTTAATTCTTTGTCCTTTTTTTGTTTTTGGCAAATGTTGGTATTTGAAAAAAATTAGAAAATATTTTTCTCCCAAAAAATCAGTTTTTTTATTGCCAAGGATAAAAGTCCTACGCGTATTGTATGTTACAATACACATAGACCATGAACGGTTGAGCAAAATATATTTTGAGGTGATAGAAACTTTACACAATGTTAATAGTATTCAATAGAGATTACTGTATAAATCAATAATAGCAATTTTATTAATTACAAAAATATACACATCTGTAAGAGATAGTTCCTTGTTCAAAGTTTCTTACTCTCTTTTCAAAAGCATTTTTTTTTTCTGATTACACAGATTTTCTTATGAAAACTAAGGGGCTGAATAAAATTTAAAAAAATAGAAAGATTGCAATGCGCTAATAATATTTTTTAATAAATTTCTTTCTTACTCCTTGTAAACAGAGTATATATATATATATATACATGTATGTAAGTAATTAAAAGGAACTCGTCTTCAATATTTGTATGGGATTTCCATATCTAACAACCAAAAGAGGAAATGAATATATTTGATAAATACATGTAATACCAAAGGGCAAGATATGAGAGGTAGGTAAAAGATAAGTTAATCTGTTTAATCTTAGCATAGCGTTATTGATATTTATTTATTGCAAGTCATGTCCGTACTTTTGACATGATTGATACGGTCATTGAAAAAGAATGCTCTCATTCAATGTCTGTTTTAATACTAGAATTGCTTTCTTGTGACAGTGTACTACATTAAAGACATGATTATCTCCATCTTAAATTCCTACACCACTTTCCTGAAAAAAAAAGAAAATTTGGTAATTAATAATAATTCATTTCCTTTCTCCATCTGGGACTTTTAGAACGACATTGTAAATTCAATAGATGAACTGGACCAATACTGTTTATTCCATGAACTTTCAGTTAAATAAAATTAAATCGTTAATTAAGATATAATGAATTCGCCAATGCCGTTTATTTTCTCAATGAATAACAGCTCGATTGGGTCTATTACTGACTCTCTAGCTGGAGGTAAAATGTAAAAGATTATGTAATAATATTTTACAACAGATCACACCAAAGTTGTTTTCTGAAAAATCAGGAAATTCACCCACGCATTCTCAGAAGTTATGCATAATTTTCATTATAATGAAGGATCAATTATTATTAGCTAAGAGGGTGTGGATTACAATTTTTAGCAAAATTTTGCTTCATTTCATTCATTCTTCCAATTATCCGATAATGATATTTCTAAATGTTGCCCTTTGCAACATTAAGTTAACTTACAGATTCACAAATGTCAGAAATTTAGACAATTTCTAACAGATGGGCAACTTAAATTGCAATAATGCAAATGAAAATCTCGTAATTTGGAATTAAAGCGTTATCAATTCATTCAGGTCTGTGTAATTTTTCACAGAGGTCCTCAATTAAGGGCGCTGTGAAAAATATCAGTAGTAGAGTAGCACATTATTCTGTGTTTATGAAATCGTATTAAAATTCATTAAGCTAAAAACTTTTCATTTCATTGAATTTCGGACTAAAAAAAATAATGTTTAAAAAATTTCTTTCAAAAACTTTCAACAATATATGATTGATTAGAATAAAAACTGTTAAAATCCTCTAGGTCCATTAAATAAGTATTATATCATTTCCGTGTTGTGTTTAGCGGGCTTAGACGGGGGGTGTTGACAGTCAGATAGGGAGGGAAGAAATCAAACGCTTTATCACACTGCCTGTTTATGTCTGTAGTATAAACATGCCTATAGTAAATCAAGGGCGCGATTTTATCGTGTTCAAGTTTTCTCTACAAATGTTGTTCTTTATTTAGTAGTTAAAATTTATCAAAGGAATTCCTTTTGAGAAAATTTAATTAAATTATAAGATATAATGCTCTCCATTTAAATAAAATACAAACGATTTGGGAAAAAGCAAGAAGTTTGTGAGATATATGAATTGATATTACGTGTAATATATTTTTGAAACCAAAACTATTAAATTGTATGGGAAAGATAAATTTATTTACAATTTTTCATCAATACATTTTTCGTCTGAATACATGAACTTATAGCAAATTTCACACTTTAGATTTGGTACACGGTACTAGTAAATAAAATTTATAGCAATATCCAAAATTTATCTTTGAAAATTAAATGTTTTTTCTAATTTTTTTTCATTTTTCTTTCTGTTGTTTCTTTGTTAAGTTTATTTTTAAATTTATTCTCATTTATAAATATATAATAACGATTTACATGACCAGGAAAATTCCTGCATTCTATAATACTGTTTGTTGTTCTTTGAAATGTGTGTGCAAAGAAATGTTTTTAAAATGCAACAAAGTATTTTATTTTATACAAAAAATCTACCGTCCGTATCATGAGAGCTTACATCCATTGCATCTTTTAAATCTAAAGATAAATTCAAACACAACATGTGAATGATGAGGCGAAGAGTTGTTTGCATACAAATTCTTATCTTAAATATATTAGTTACACCGATATTTAATTCTAAAAAAAATCAGATATCAAAATACAGTAAAAGTAAACATTAGTTTTCAGTTGCACTCTATCATTTGATCTTCGCTCAGATTTTATATCCCTAAAGCATGTTGCTATTTCACGTCATAGGGTGTGTCTCTATCCCAAACAAAGTTAATCGTTAAAAGTTAGATTTATTATCCAAATATCTTTGTAAAATTGGCAGAAATTTTAAAAAAAATCATGTAATGATGTTCACATAACACGGCTAAAAAAATTTTTTAAATATCAAAAATACATGTACACTGTACACCATCTTTTATTGTGCCATATTGAGCGAAAATTGTGACATGGCACCGAAAATGACCAAATTTTAATTCTCGAATGTGTCACTGTTACAAACTTTCAATGCTGATATATTTCAGTTTATTAATTTTACATTTAAAAATACACATGATTGTTTTGCAACATAAAAACTAATATTGTCCTTACTAAATAAGTGTAAACAAACTATGGCTAATGAATATGCAGGAGATGTATATCTGTACACGTGAGAGAAAATGGCAATGAAGTTTTTAATTCAAAACTTGTGAAAATACAGTCCCAATCATAAAAATAATCGAGAACGGCATAATATTTAAATCAGTGTTTCATCCATTTTACTTCATTACATTATAATTGCTTAAAATATTATATATTCTATTTTTCGTAAACACACTTCTTTGAATATAACAGGTAAAACCCCGATTTAAAACGACGCAGTAAATCAAAGCTGATTTTAATCATACTTGGTAACTTTATGCACAGAATATAGCTACAATAAAAATCAGAATATGGTGAACAAACTTACCAAATTCATCGGGTGTATGAATGCTGGCTGCACTGGTTCCTCATCATCGCTGGTTAGCACCTGACGTAAATGAGCTATGTAACTAGAAGCCAAACGAAGAGTATCTAATTTGGAAAGTTTTGTATCGGCTGGTACCCATGGTAAAGTTGTTTTTAATTTCACAAATGCTTTACTTAAAACTCGCATTCTAGCTCTTTCACGTGCATTTGCGGCATTCCTTTGGATGGGTTTATGAAATTTTCTGCCGCCTTCACTTGCAAAGTCCTCTTCATCGTCACTTATGATTTCTTCCTTCTTCCGTCGCGGCATTTTAGGGAAGAAAGCTTATTTTTTAACTTGAAATTCTCCCTCGTTGTTTTTATTTTATTTTGTCACAGAAAGCTTCTTTTTTGTCAGTACTACATGTACGTTCCCTCGATGTCTTCGTTTTCTTCCCCGCTGTGTTTTGCGGTGATTTGATAAGGCGGCAAGCTAAAGTAAGCAAAGGGATATCCCTTGTAAACTTAGCATATATAAATGATCCATAGTTTATTTTATAAGAAATCCAGTATACATTAAGCAGAATCCATCAACACAAAAAGTGTGTCAAAATTGACGACTGATCCATGAACCCATGTCACGTGACATGACGCGCGACGAAGACCGTCCAAAATTATTGGTTGCTTTTTTGACATATAAACCAGTATATTTTCCATCTTAATTAGCTGGGAACTGATAATATTCTTTTAGAGTTTGATAAAAAGCCTATTTCAACTAACCCGAGAGCGGCATAGTTTGTCACTGGACAAACCGCCCGAAAGTTTGTCTCGTCATATTAATATGCTTATCGTAATTGCCGCTTTCTACGGAACTTTATGGTCGATTATTCCCTACAGACTAAGAAGATTGGGTTTTAAATATTATGTTACACAATCTTTCAATTAATAAGATATCCAGGATTGTGTATTTTTACCTCCATTGTACATATTGTATTGTTCTTAAAGAAGTAGAACATTTCCCTTCACGACTTTCAACCAATATTAGAAAAATTTAAGTCTATGTATCAAATTGATAATATTCTGTTGATTCTTCAGTTATCAAATGATATGCAGAGAATTTGGTTATTATTCTTTGAACGAACCTAATGCATACTTAGATATGAGTAATTGGAAAACAAACAGTGCAGCCCTGTCTAGTTAGCATAACTGCAATATTTGACACAGAAATGGCTCGCCTTTAATCATTGGTCATTTGATGCCTTCATTCCTCTACAGCAGGAGAAAGTCTTTCATCTTCTAGCACCTGTATACTGTGAATATTCTGTTTTTCCTCAAAGGAAAGTTACAACAGCTCTTGCGATGACAAAGCTTACTTTGCGGATCATCAAAAAGCGATTAAACAAATTAATCGCAAACAAGTGTACATGTGTTTTTTGGCATTACAAGTGTTATCCCCGTGATTAACGCGCGAAGTACTCTACATCAGCATTGCTTTTCATTAATAATGAAGAAAATGAGTCAGGTAGCCCGAAGATTCCCTTCTTGCACTTGTCAGCTTCCGGTCCACAAATCCTATGTCTGTCAAAACAGATGAAAATATTAATTCACGGTAATGTTGGATGGAAGCTAGATTACTTGTAATACGTTTTAATTATAGAATATTCTCTGTAATTTGCATCACATTGTGCTTTCGACGCGCTAAAAGACAGCGATAGTTTGGTTCTGGGTAAGATAATTGTATTGCTGGGTATGTGGCCCCCGGGGAGTTGTGTGGGTGACCTACTAACATGAATCTACTTCCTTTCTCCAAATTTATTTTTACATCAGATACTTTAAAAGTCATTTGTATGAAAATTTCAAGGAAGAAAAAACGTTTCGATTCATATGCTACAGTAGCATTTAATATTCTAGTTCTTCTATTCAAGAAGAGATGAAAGTCCTGTCAATTTAATCTATATGTCTATTGAAGTTAGTTCTGGTCTATCACCGAAATTATTTTATAAGCAAAATAATATAGTTCACAAAAGCACCCACTTGTTCGTGTTTCAAGTATAGTATTATTGCTTAAAAATTATTTTTAACAGTGACATTTTCTATATTTAGTAATGAATTATATATATATATATATATATATATATATATATATATATATATATATATATATATATATATATATATATATATATATATATAGGATATTCAATGTTTTGTAGATGAATATGGAATTTATTTTACGAGCGGGACAGGATTTTTTGATATTTTCACGAGTGCGAAGCACGAGTAAAAATATCAAAAAATCCTGTCCCGCTCGTGAAATAAATTCCATATTCATCTACAAAACATTGAATTTTCTGTTTATTACATTTTCTTTGATGTTCCCTTTGCCTCTGTCTTTTCTTAACACAGTGTCATAGCTAGGCTTGACGTCATAGTTGAACGGTTGAGGCGTCATAGCTTAGCAGTTGTGAGATTGAAAACATTACAAAGCATAAATTTTAGCAAATATTTGGGAAGAAAATTGCAGTTTTAGCTCTATCAAGATGTTAAGTTACTATCTCTATCTTAGCACAGGCCAGAAATTATTTTTACTTACTTTGATATCCTTTCACACTGTGAAAGATTATCATTTTGGTATCCTTTCACACTGTGAGAGAATATCACTTTTATTCAATAAATAGTTTACAGTATTTCACTGTTGAAAATGTAATATATATATATATATATATATATATATATATATATATATATATATATATATATATATATATATATATATATATATATATATATATATATATATATATATATATAAAATTCATTATTATTTAACTTAAAGCAAATTTGGAAAATATGATGTTTTATCTGTGTGAATGACAAAGTAAGAAAAATAAAATGATCAAAGAAAAACAAGAAAGTGGAATTGGGGCCAAAAGAAGAGGACATAATAAATTAACATAAATTTTAGTAAGCTGCAATGCAACTTTTAAGCAAACTAGAGGAGACATGGAAGAGTACTTATACGTAAGTAAAAAAGAAAAACAAATAACAAACTTCCATCAGAGGCATCATGCAATTATTGCTCAACAAAAAGGATTTAAATTTTCTTTTCTCCTCAGAAACTCATTCAAGAGCAACAATGAGAAAAAAAAAATAGTTTGCTTTATCTAAATCGTATTTATTTTTTTTTCACAGAAAAAAAAGATATCTGAGAAATAGGTTGGTCAGGAACATATTTTTTCCAGTGAAGAGGTCTAACCAATAAAATTTTTTCAACAGAAAAGCGAGTTTCAGAATCTCCGAAGGAATCATTGTTTGATGTGCAACAAGAAATGCTTCATGTAGCTATTGGACATTATGTACATTAACAAGATTAAAGCAGTATTTTTTTTATGACAGTGACCATGACCAGTTTGAAAATTTTGGTGACAGTCTTATCTAAAAATACTTGTAGTTTGCAGAACTACTGTACAATGTATGTTTTATACCATCTGAACAAACAGTGAATATTGCATATAGCGCACATTTCAACATTTATAGATACATATGTACGTTAACTAGATTTTTTTTCTATATACTCTATAAATATACAGTATGAAAATATTTTGATTCAGTGTTTCGATAATATTTCTGTGGAATGGAACAATTACAATTCAATCGTTTATAATTATGATGATTTGTTAAATATGTAAATTTTGTAAAATAGAAGAAAAATAATCTGCCTTTTACCGTTTTATTTGTCATAATCATTGATTTGAAAAAAAAAATCATTTATATTTAAGATAAAAAAAAGATTAAAATATAAATGATGAATACTTCATATATAATGTTAAAGCAATATGAATATGAGCTGCAATTTTATTGCCGATTTTTTTCTTAAATGTAATATTTTACTACTCCAATGACAAAAAAATTCTCTTATTCAAATATGCACTGACAAAAAAGACTCTAAACAACATTATTGTCTATATATAATATCTCCATATTTCTAATATTTATATATTGTCTATATAAATGTAATTCTGAAACATACTGCATATATTGCTTTAAAATTCAGATCTTCCAAGTTCCATTTCTTTTCCTTTCACAGATGTATTCTGTCAATCAGGATGAAAATATTTCTTATTCCCTTGGCGTAGCTGCCGATATCTGATCAGAACGATAGCAACTCGCGTTTCCGTCGTTTGGTTTACACGCACGTGCACTAATTATGTACACCGTCGCCATTGATAAATAAGCCAATGTAAATCTTCATTTATTTAATATAAGCAAGTATCTAGACAAATTCTCAGATATGGGGGTTCGATGTAGGTTATCTGCTAACAAACCTTTTATATACACGGATCTTGTTTCTATTTTACGTGGAAGACGAATAGTATCATAAACAAGGATGAAGAATGATAGCGGTATCGCCCGTTAGTTAGGAGTTGGTAAAATGTCCCTCAATTTTAATTGAACCCAAAGGTTAGTTAGGGAGAGGTCTGATAAAATACACACCTAGAGTACACATAAAATAAAAGCAGAAAAGTTTTGAGATTAAAATAAGGACACGACATATAACGTTCAAACAAATGATTTTCTTTGTTTTGTTTTTTTAACCAGTATAAAAAAATCATATATATTTACTATATAAATTCTCTAATATAGCAACACAAACTTTAAATTTATGTCAAAATTATTGACCACGGTGTATAAAATTTCCACATTTTTGTCTTTAGAAGAAATTGCTACCAAAACGTTAGAAGAAAAAATATTACCATACTCTAAAGCAGACAAGCAACTTGTGAATGTCCGCCTTTTTATGTATTTGACATCACTAGGTCTGTGTTCACATTGCTTCTACCTCTTCTACATTTAAAAATCCTAAATCTACAATACATGTAGCAATCATTTAATTTTTTAGGGTAAAGAAACAGAATTTTCTGAATAATTGCTGATAATTTTCATATAGTTGTCTTTAAAACCCATGTCAAAATCGCCGAATTAAATATGGTTGCGAGTTTACACAGTTTAACAGAAACATCTCTTAATCAAAAAGTGAGAAGTTGCATTTTGTTATACTATATCTGAAAAAATCGTCGTAATCCAAAAATCAAAAAGGATTTATTGTGAAACATTTAAGTTGTTCAAATAAGAGGATTGTATGTTATGGAAAAATTAATGTTATATAGAACATTTACATGCAAAATACAATTTGTCTGCAACATTCAATTCTGCAAATATTAGATTGAACAATAATATTTTTAGTGTGGTCAGTCCTCAGTGTGATTGTATCCTGGAGCTTTTGCAAAGTATAATTGTTTGTAATTTATTACAGAATCAAAATGTAAATCGCTAGTCTGTGTGGATTTTGTTGGTATATTGTATAGAAGTTGCCTTCTTATAAAGAAATTCAGTTTAGAGTAATATCTTTTTGTATTGTTGAATCAAGTTTAAAGTCATCATTTCTCAAGTTCTATGGTCGATACAATGACCTCAGCAAATGCAATCTATCATACAGTCAAATACTGACTGACGTTTTTCATACTAATTGTTAGGCCATTCTTTACACTCTGAATTATCTACAGAGTTTTCCGCTTTTCCTGATCATGACAAGGAGAACATGGAGGGTGTGACGGGTCGGCAGGGGATGCTCACTCCTCTATGGCACCTGATTCCAACTCTGATGTTTAGATGCCCGCGTTTGCTCTGCTCCTGATTTGTATTGTTTGAATGGATTTTGACTTGAATACTGTTCGCTATCTCCATATTTCATTTACTATAGCAGATCTAGTACCGGGTAGTGCAGAAAAAATTATAAATGATCAAAAGTAATGCTATAGAAGTAACAACCTTTTCTAATAATTTT